CAAAAAAAAAAAAAAAAAAAAAAAGAATGAGTATGACTATATTGGTACGGATTCTTCAAAGAAAAATAGTGTGTGTGTGTGTGTGTGTGTGTGTGTGTGTGAGAGAGAGAGAGAGAGAGAGAGAGAGAGAGAGAGAGAGAGAGAATATGTAAGGAATCAGCTTACGTAGTTGTGAGGGTTGGTGAGTTCAAGTTCAGAGGGCTAGAAATACTGTCCTGCAGTAGAGTGCTGGCTTAGAATCAGGTTCTGAGCATTAAAAGCAAACAAAAACACCACCCACTTGCCCAACAGAAAACACCAACCAACTAACCAACCAACCAAAACAAACAAACAAAAAACCCCAAAGAAGCACTATAACTCATGCCTATAATCCCAGCATTTGGAAGATGGAAGCGGTAAGATCTATCTTCTAGGCTATCTAGCAAATTTGAGTCCAGGCTAGGTTAAGTAAGAGCCTGCCTCAAAATAAAAAAGCAAACAAGAACATTCAAAACATCAAGAAATGATAATACATGAAGTATGGGGCAAACTAGAAACCCTGGTAGAATTTCCACATCAATCATGAGGCAGAATTTCTTCTAAGGAAACCTCCGGTTTTGCTTTAAGGCTCTCAGCTTGCAACTGATTCCTTTCGACATCATGTCACTTATTGAGGATAATTTTTACTTAGAACCGGTCAATTGTCAAAGTTGAAATATTAATCACAGCTGGGCAATGGTGGCAGAGGCAGGCAGATCTCTGTGAGTTCAAGACCAGCCTGGACTACAGTGCTCCAGGACAGTCAGGGCTACAAAGAGAAACACTGTCTAGAAAAACTAAAACAAACAAACTAAAAAAAAAGGAAAGAAAGAAAAGAAATATTAATCACAAGTACAAAACACCTTCACAGGTTTTGAAGTGAGTTCTTACCCTCAGCTTTCCCTTGAATTGGCATTCTTTCTTCATATCGCGTACACTGAAGTTGCCTATTCTTCCCCTAAAAGACCCTTACCTCCTGCTTTAGGGACCCCAAGAATCACTCTGTGAGGAGGCAAATTACTGGATTTTAGTAAATATAGTATATATTTACTAAATATATATTATAATATATATAATTGAACAATATATACTATTCACTTATGAGCACAGCCACTGCTAGGATGTTCCTGAGGCCAGTTTACAAATGCCTTTGCTCTAACCCTTGCACAGCAGTGAATTTCATTCTAGGAATGAGAAGTGCACTGTGTATGGCTTTGACAGTCATTACAGGGAGTGTTTCAGATGTAGGAGAACATGTGACTGTGGTTAAGTACCCATTGCCTGGAGGTGGGATGAAGCAAGGTCTTGACTAACTTCAGTTTGGGCCGTTAGTCTTGGGATAAAGGGCAGAGCTGGGGGTTCTAGTTAGCTAGGGTGTCACTAAATCAGAAGGTGAAGAGAGAGCCAGGTGTGAGATTCCACAGTGGCATTTGGCAGGTACTGGAGGAGAGAGGTGAGCACGGCACCATTTTTTGGCAATGGGGTATAGTTTATATAAACATTGTGTAATAGATGAGTAAGACAGAGGTCGGTCCTCCTTTGGCATTGTTTTGTTTTTTGAGACAGAGTCTCACTATTTAGTTCTGGGGGTCCTGGAACTCATTATGTAAGCCAGGCAGACCTTGGATTTAGTGACAGATCAGCCTGTCTCTGCCCTGTGGTGCTGGGGTCAAAGGTGAGTGCTGCTACCTCTGTCCTATTTCTGCTTCTGAGGAGAAGAAATAATGTTGGACTTGTTTGCCTCTCAGGTTATTTGCTAAGAGAGCTCACTCTTTAGGCTTCTGAGAGTAACTTTTTCATTGTTTTTGACAGCTTCTTCTCTCTCATAGGCCAGCCATGAGCTTGCTAAGTAGTTAAGAATGACTTTGAATTTACGATCCTTTTACATAGCAAATTAGAGGCCATTTTGAGCAACATGAGACCCTGTCTCAAAAAATCAAAGAGAACCTGTCTCACTCCAAATAAACAAAAAAGATTCCTACATCTGTTTGGTGTACACTTTAGAGGACAGAAGGGCTGCAAAGATGAAGAGGCCTGGGTTTTTTTTTTTATGATTTATTTATTTTATTTTGAATGTGTATGAGTGTTTTACCTGAATGTATGCATATGTACCATATGTATGTAAAAACAGACACAAACAGGAGAAGCTATCGGGAATTTGGCAAGGCACAGCTCTTTGGAGGGGAATTTGGCAAGATCAAGCAAAAGCACATGTATGGTCTCCTTTTGGTTCAGAAGTCTCTCCCTGAAAATCTGTTGCAGAGTTCTGTAAGAGAAACTTACTGATAGCTGGGCACAGCACAGGATGTACACCCATTCTCCTCTCAGTTCGGGGAGGCAGAGCTGGGATAATCAAGGCAAGCTCCAGGCTAGCCAGGGGTGCAGAGTAGGCCCTATCTCAAAGAAGAGGAGGAGGAGGAAGAGGAGGAGCAGCAGCAGGAACAAAAGCTTATTAAGTAAGTTCATTAGTAGATGCTAGTAACCTCAGTGCACAGCCCTGCAGTGCCCCCTCCCCAGTCCCACCACTCACCCACCCACCCTGTTTCTTTGACAAATGTGCACTGACCACACACAGCACACTTACATAGCCCTTTTTTCTGGGTTGATGATATCAGAGCCAGGGAATGCTAAGAGCACCACTCAGTCCTCAAAGGTCCAGGATAACCCTAATTGATATTTCCAGTAATAAGCAAATGAGCCACGAATCTTGCAGCATTTCGGGGGTTCTTTAGCGGTAGATACATGAAACCAGTGTGGTGGCACATGCTTCTGTGTCCAGCCTTGAGACGTGGAGGGAGAAGGATCAAAAGTTCAAGACCATCTGCAATGGTATGACACAGAGTTCCTGCACTTGAGAACTTCCTGACTCTGGGGCATCTGCTGGGGTGGGGGTGGGGGTGAAGCTGAGAAAACTCACTTCAGAGACAGAAGCTTAAAACCGAAAGCTTTATGTTCTGAGTGCTCAGGTTTCTGTTCACATTGAGGGCTAAGCTAACCATAGCTTGACAGCTAGAGAATACCAGGCAACTAGCCCCTTATCCCAAGATAATCCACTACCTTGTCAATCACTAATCAGTTCATTAGCTAGTTAAAACTATCAGGTCTCCTACTAGAAAAGCAAACAGGTTTGCCTTGCTCACAAGCCTCATGTTAAAGATAAACAGGTTTCAGATATAACTTTTCAATATTCCCTTATCTAAACAAACTCACTTTACGGTGGACTGCTCCCAGTGGTCAACCACTGGGAAGCAATAGTGGTCCTATTCATGGCAAGCAATTGGATAGGAAAAAACATGTGAAGTTTATGTAAGGCCTGAGGAGATGAACGCTTAGGTTGTGAGGATCTAAGGACATGTTTTAGGGTCTAAGAATGTGTTTTAAGTTCGGTAAATGCAAGTGAAAGCTTTAACGGTAAGAAACTGATTAAAGGTCTACGGCCATATCACCCTGAAAGTGCCCGATCTCGTCTGATCTCAGAAGCTAAGCAGGGTCGGGCCTGGTTAGTACTTGGATGGGAGACCTCCTGGAATATCGGGAAGCTTAAAAAAATAAAAATAAAGAAATAAATAAATAAACGAATGAATGAAACTGATTCAACGTACATACAAGGAATGAGAAATGCTTCCGATTTCTTCCCCCCCCCCCCCCCCCCGCTGTATTAGGACTTTGACAGTTCCGAGTTCTAACAATGATCAATGGAATTCTGATAAGTTATTAGTGTAACTCTAGTAAAGCATCCCACTACGATGCCATTCACTATCATAGTCACAAGTTCAAGATTGTAAGTTTCCTTTGGTTGTCTTTTAAGCTTAAACCTAAAGATACTTCTTATTATGCTAAATCTATATTCAGCCAATCTTCTGGATAGAGGGAAGAAGCACCTCTTGCCCCTTCTGCTTCACAGAAGCTTTCTGTCTTCTGTGAGCTCACCTGAGGGAGTGCTCATGCTTTTAACAACACAAAAAGTGTTTACCAAGCCTCTACTATGACACAAATGTGGTATCTACTACCTTTTCCTACAATATTGATTTCAGTACAGTCTACCAACAATTTAACACGTCCAAAATTTATCTATTTTTGTAAACTTAAAAAGATTCTTGTAAGCTTCAGGAAATCCACTCAGACCCACCTTTAATGGGTCAAATAAACTAAGTTTCTCACTTATTACGCATTCCAGAGTGTAGGATTCCTTCCCAGTTCCCTGGTTTTGGGACTCCCCTCCCCCCAGCTACTAAGACCATGGACCCAAAAGTTTCAAATGTATACTTAAGAAATTTTTTTTTCTCCCTAACTTAACGTAATCTGCTCTTAATATATACGTCTTTTCCAGAATCCTGCCAAGTCCAGGTGTTCACCCGAAATCTGCATCCAGGACAACTCTACGATGGCTACTCACAGGTGCTTGGGTCTAACCTCACAGATGCTCCAACTGGGCCTGCACTTTCCTAGCCCCGGATATCCTCACAGATCCTGGGCAGCAGTGAAAGAGCCAGCTCTCCCAGGACTTGGCCAGCCTCTCAATTTTCTCAGGGTCCCCATAGATGACATCATCGCCCCTCCCTCCCGCCCCCAGTCAGCAGGAAGTAGTTTAAAGAACAAAACAACCTCACAGGTTTAAAGAACATGCCCCCACCATCACCCCTTCCTAGCTCCTCATTTTTCATTAAATTTAGAAGGGAGGAATGTTAGCTTATAGGTGATTTCCGCTAGGGTCTTCCCAGACCCCTGGCAATGGCTTACGTCATCATCTGCCACCATTTCCTGCCACCAGCAGGTGCAGGTGTCCTGGTGTATAAAAGGCCTACTCTCTACTCCATTTGGCTCTTTCTCCCTGTTCTGCTCTTCTCTGTCCCCCCTCTTTGCCCTCATGGCATTGCTCTCATCTGTCTGCCTCTAACCCTTCTCTAGGTCCTCACTTCCCTCCCTCCCCCCATATAAACCTCCTTTGTACCAGATGTGTTACATGGTGTGACTTTTCAGGGGTATGTCTTGCCATGGTCCTGGTCAGGTAACATCCCCCACCCCTCAAGGTATTATATTTCATATCAATCTGAAACATATCTCTGAAGGGAATAAACAACATTTTTAAAGGATGAAAACTCAAACCATGGGTGGGGCTATGGGCAGGGGACTGTAGTATTATGTTATTTTTGGCACTATGGGTTAAGCAAGGGAGTACTCACTGGAAACTGGGACATATCCAGGCACCTGGTCCTAGTTCGCCTTTTGCCACCAGGTCCCCTCATGGACTCTGGCCTGGAATTTTAGAATGATAAGGGAACAAAAGAGTAGGCAAGTTGCAAATAGTCTACTCAGGCATAACAAGCAACTGGTTATATAGTTTTATAACTTATGCTCCTTGGTTTAGATCACAGCACTTTCTATATTCTTTACCAGTTAATAGACAATTAAGAAAACATTTGGAGAAATGGGATCGGAGTTCATTCCTAGGCCTGGGAACACAAACATGTTTGACCCTGCCAGCAAGATGGAGGAGTTATCCTTGAGATGTCTGGACTCCGACGACTGTCTCCTTACAAGTTGTTCCTGAGATGTCTGGACTCAGACCACTGTTTACAACAGAAGCTGTTCAGCTGTAGGGAAGTCCCCAGCTCCCTTAGGGCCTGGGACCTGGAGTTTAGTTTCTTTCTGTGATTAAATGGATTCTGAAAATGAAATGGTAGTCCTGAGAGTAAGCTCTGCTTGTTCCCAGCAGGCCCCAGCTCCAGCTTCAGCCCTTGTCTTTTTATTTTTATTTCTTTTAAATCTCATCTAGATATAATCGACAAATGTATGAATTTGAGGTGGAGGCTAGGTGATACAGTATACACATGTATTGTTTTTGTTTTGTGTTAATTTTTTAGACAGGTTTTCAAGTATCCCAGGCTGGCTTTGAATTCAGTAGGTAGCCAGGGCTAGCCTTCAACTTCTAATTCTCTGGCCCTTATCCCTGAATGCTGAGATTACAAGTATGTGCACAACTCCTGGTTTCATCTCTTTAGTAGAGACTGCCGCTTTAAATTTTTTAACTTAAATTCTTTCTTACATTTATTTATTATTTTATGTGTATACTTGTCTTGTCTGCCTGTGTACCACATCTGTGCTTGGTGCCTGAAAAGCTTCTCTCTCTCTCTCTCTCTCTCTCTCTCTCTCTCTCTCTCTCTCTCTCTCTCT